TCTTTTTCCTCAGTTAGAATAGGCATTTTTGTAGAATTACATTTACAGAAGATCTTGAAAAGACTTTTCTTCAGTTTTAATCATTTAGTTGTATTACTTTAATCTCTCTGTATTGTTAAAATTGAGATTAAATAACCATATATTAAAACATGTTACAAAATACACATGCTTTCAAAGGGTGTCCTACTTTTTTCACATGACTGTATGTCTTGGACCTTTGTTTACTTTGAAAGAGCCAAGCCAGTTGTTTTTCAAAGCCTTGTATTTGAATGTTTTCTGGAAAAACCAGTATGGCTGGTAAAACTTTTGATTGTCTACAAGAGACGATTACTAGACATGTTGTAGATAAGAAACAGTATTTTACTCCCCATAAAAATCCAGTTGAGATGAAAGGCACGTTTCATCAGCAGCTGAGAAAAGAGACGGGACAACATCTTCTGCCATTTTCCGTGACAGTGTCTTTACTTGTCCCCCCCCCCAGAGCAGTAAAGAGGCCCTGTCGAACATCAACGCCACTGGTGTCGCCATGCTCTTCTCCGCCGGCACCTTCCTCTACGTGGCCACCGTCCACGTCCTCCCTGAGGTCGGTGGCGGCCACAGCCACACTCCTGCAGGAGGCAACGGAGGGAAAGGACTGAGTAAGGTGGAGGTGGGAGCTCTGGTGCTGGGCACCCTCATTCCTCTGGTGCTGTCTGTCGGTCACCAGCACTAGACTGACGGCTCAGGACCGGTTTAAGACAGGTGTACAGGGAACCAGTGACTTGAACCATTGTGGGTTAATTAATGTCTTATTGCTTGTTGTCTGCTGATGGACGTCGTGGACCAGACCGGTGCTCATTGCAGGGACATCTTGTGACTCAAAACTGAGGCTGAAACAGTGAATGAATGATGTCAGGGAAATCAGAGGTGCTGCAGTGATGACCGACCTGCTGACACTGACGACCAGACTGATACTGTATGTGCCCATTTATGCCGCCAGATGTGTGGATCTTTTCCTAAGAGAAGATGGTTGACCCTTTAGCTCAGTTTACTTAGGTCAGTGTGGGGGTTTCAGTGTTGCATTATTGTGCTTGTCCAAAGTCAAGAGACCAACCCTGACTTCATTACAGTGATGTTTTACTAGGTGACACTTGCACGGTGAGATTTAGTCTCCGTTAAGTTCACGATCTCATCCAGGTTGAGTTGAAGTGATTTTCAAGTGCCATATTAACAAGTTTGAAACCGATTCATGAAGAGACAACACCATGTTAACAGTTTGCAGAAGACTTTCCTTACTAATCTTGTAGTCACTGCTAAGTCTGAAGCAGGAGGAGAGAACAGTCAGCCCCGTGCACCTCACAGTCTTTACTTTGGTTCATCACTCTGTCTCAGTGTCTGATGGACACTGACACCCGTAAAACCATATATACCGCTCATGGTCTGGTCAGTTAAAAACCTGAGCCCTGCATGAGGGTAATAGACGACCAACCGCCGCTTTTATCTGCTGGGTTTCTGGGATTTTGTTTCTGTTCTGTTTTACCTGGAGAGTAGTTATAAATAGTTCGCAGGAAGACGCTTAACAGAATCGTCTTAAGTGATTGTGTAGAGTGTTACTTAGCATAGCGACGGTTATTTTATCAGCTTTAAATTAATGAATGATTTGCCTTATAGAGGACATGAACTGGATAAAGAAATGATCACTAGCTCAGGCAGATGCACCCGTTACAGATCAGGTGAGGAGAATGTCGAACAGTTTTCTCCTCCTCAGTTAATAATACCTGAGCAATAATCACAAATGCGGAGCTGGGATGAAGTCGCTTCTTGCTCAGGAGTGCAGCTGAGTCTGAAATGGTTACAGAGGGTTTGCCTTTCTCTTTAAATGTGATTCACCTATCAAGATGTGTGGGTTAGAAGCTCCTGAACACGGCCCTGCCTCTGATATCTCTGCCCCAGTTTGAGTTAAACGGTAAACTGGTCGATACATTAAGATCATAGGTGGTTTGCTTTTCTGTCAGGACACGTGGATATTGTGAGTGTTTCTGTCACCGTGCCTGCTCCCAGCAGGGCTCATGTGTATGTAAATGTATTTGTGTATACTGTACAGAGTAACTCCTTCCTCCCACAATCATCATGGGCTCCTGTGGGAGGTGGAACTGCTTTCTCACAAACATGTTGAACATTTTTAGTATGACTGTTCTTTGCAGTTTGGACACGAGAGGCTACAGACTGACGAGTCTCTGTGTTATGTATAAACGCAACCATTTTACACCCAACCTGTCAGTTAATTCCATCTGGGTTGAAACAAAGCTACCGTGATGTTTTAGCTTCCTTCTGAATATTGTCTCCTTGCTGAGATTTGGGATTTACAAGTTTTCTATCCTTATGAAAATTTTCTAATGACGTAATTATTTTTATCTGTTAATCAGACCACAAGTTTCTCATTTGGCCTAAAAATTGTAAGCTGTAAAAGGTGCCAGTCACGGGTTTCCAGAGTCCAAGGTGCCGCCTGACTTTGTCCAAAAAACTGTCAAAAACCCAAATATATCTAGTTCACTAACAGAGAAAACCAGAACATATTCATATGTGAGAATCCTTTATTTTGCTTGAGATATGACTTTAAGGATTAACTGAAAATGGTTGCAGATATATTTCCTGTCACAAAAAAAGCATTTATTTGGGAATATGTCTGCCTTTAAAGCCCCTAAAAACCTGGTTTATTTAAGTCATTTTCTCCAGGATTAAATATTCACATCTAAACCAACTGGACAAACATCTTTAGCTGTTGAATGAAATTCTGAAACCTCTGCTGTCAAATAACCAGAGCTGTTGTAACTTTGGCAGAAAATGTGCTCAAGGAGAACACATTCATTCATAAACAAGGTCTTCAGAGCCTTGAAGCTCCATCACGTTGGTAACATTACTGCTTTTTGGGAAGAGGATGAAGGGAAAGCAGTTAAAAGTTGAAAACATGAACTGTGGTGGGGTCTAAAGGTTGAGCTGCTGTGAGACCTGAGGAGTCTGGGTGATGAATCAAGCACGTGTCTTCTGAAGTTTCTCTCGTTGGGATAAAATTCTCTTCTTGTGCTGCTGTTCCGCCGTCAGAAGAGAAAAACTCTGGAAGACACGCTGTTGATTTGTTAAACTCAGGCTGCTGAAGCTTCATAAAAGCAGTGACTGAACTTTTGAGTTTTTCCATTTTTCCCCATCTGTCACATTAGAGCGGCATTAGGAAGGGAGGTCGGACAGGATGAATGCTAAGTGCAAACGGCTCCTGGGCTGCTGTTTGAAGAGAAGCTGGAAAAATGCAAACCTGTCATTTAAGTCAAATAAACCATTTTAAAATTCATTGGTTTATCTGAAAATGCATTGTCATGAGCTGTACACAAGACTGTTTTCCTTAGCTCATGTTAATGGAGATACAAGGTTTTCACCTGCCATCAGTAAAGCTCAGCGGGTTCGAGTATGTTCACTAAGGCCAGTTAAAGGTTATTAATATACATAAAGCTTCATTCTCACATCCTGAACAGTCAGAATGCCGAACTCTGATTGGCTGAAACCTCCATCTACCATCACATATGTATACAAACTGAGTAAAGAAACCCTTTAAGGTGTGTGTGTGTGTGTGTGTGTGTGTGCTCCCTCCCTCACGGAGAAACAACACTGCACACTGGGGCAGTTTGAAGGCTTTAGTTAGAATTAGGAGAATTTTAGGACCAGGTTGATATTTGTACTATCTTCAGTAGAGGTGGTTGTGTTTTTATTTCTATTTTCTTTCATTCCAGATAAATAGATCCTTTATTGATCCTGAGAGAAATTCCGGTATGAGTTCCAGAATGAGTTCACCTTATTTCTGTATTTTTGATTGTAAAAATCTTTCATAAACATTGTTTTATGACTGAATTAAAGTTTTTTTTTTTAAACTGGTGAAAATGAGGACATGCTTCAGTGTATATGAATGATTAAGCATGTTTACTGTTTAAAAACGTGTATCTCTTGTTGTAGTTTCCCCAGATTTCAACAGGTGGAACTGAGCCTGAGCTTCATCACTTAAATTCTTTTGAATGCTACTTTATTGAAACTTTCATTTTGTATTCATCCAGGTAAGAATGTATTGATTGTTGTTACTTTTGGGCACATTTTTAACAAATTGTGGGGCTTTTCTCTTAAATGAAATGTTTAAAGATCCTGTTGTGGATGCTTTTCTTCCATGACAGGATGTTTTACCTCTGGGGAAAAAAACAGTGCAGGCTCCTGCATTTATCTGTTGAGGCTGTCTGTCTTTATAATCTGCTGTTCATTCACTCTGACACTCTGTAAATTAACCTGATATGAGTCTAAAGCTGCATGTTCACTGCTTTGACGCTCCAGCCTCTTTACCAGAGTGTTGTGGAGCTGCTCCTGTGCCACAGCTGTTCTTTATTGCACAGCTGGTGGAGCGATGGATGGATGGACCGTACACTCCAAGAGCTGCATACTGCTGCTTGATGCAAGTAGAGTAATCTGAATAACAGCTTTTACTGACTGGAATGTATTGACCGGCTTCAGATTTAGCAGCTCATTCCAAAAGCCTCCCTCCTCCCAGTATCCCTCCTCTTCCTCCCTCACTCACCCTATCTGCCATCCCTGTTTTCATCTCTGCTGTGCAGTCAGTCTCCAGTTGATGTGTATTGGCAGCTGCATCATTCCACCCTGCTGAGTTATTGGGATTTGTTTGCTACTATTTCTGCTTTGTCCCTGTAGCTGTACATGCACATCTGTGTGTGTGTGTGTGTGTGTGTGTGTTATCAGCTGTTATTGGACTAACTGCTATTGACTCTTTGTTGTTGTTTTTTTGTTTTTTATGGTTCCACGTCCCAGGGCGAGGGAAACCAGAGATGTTCTCGTCTTCGTCCAGAAACACTCTGTTCTCGCCCTGGTTGTCCATGGAGCAGTCGGACTCTGAGGCGTTGGACATCAGCACCAAAGTGCAGCTGCATGGCATGCTGTGGAAGAGGCCCTTCGGACGGCCGTCGGCCAAGTGGTCCCGCAGGTGAGGGTGAGGCGTGACTCACCTGTTGTCAGTGGTTTGTAGCTTTTAACCTCCTGATACTGCAGACCGTACTTCTTATTATTGACTGGGAAAACGTCCTGTCTGCGGCATAAGAAATCTTGTCAAAACTTGCTTCAAAAACTAGAGGTTAGGTTTATATGAAACCTGCTTTTTTCTATAGTTTTCCAAAAGGTTACTTTTTGTTTTCTACTAGTACGAACAAAATTGCTCATTTCCCTTCCAAGGTGTGTCACGGTCTAAGGCACCAGTTAAAACTGCAGCAGGACATTCAGTAAAAAGCAGCTGAATTATATGGGTCACTTATTTATGAATGGAAAAATTTAGAAATTTCAAGCAGGA